CACTGTTGTGGCCTCTCCCGTTGTGGAGCACAGGCTCCGGACGCGCAGGCCCAGCAGCCATGGCTCACGGGCCCAGCCGCTCCGCGGCACGTGGGATCTTCCCGGACCGGGGCACGAACCCGTGTCCCCTGCATCGGCAGGCGGACTCTCAACCACTGTGCCACCAGGCCCTGGTCTTCTTGAGTGATCTCTGCCCTCATGGCCCCAGCCCTCCTGGACCTCATCCCAGGGCCCTCAGGTTAGTGGGCAGCAGCGTCCCCGAAGCAGCCAGGATGCAATTTCAGCCAGGTCACAAAGCAGCTTTGTTCTGGGGAGGCGGCGATTAGTGGAACTGCACAGACTCTGGAATCTGATAGACCTGACTTTAGACCCAGCTGCCCCGTTTGGCAGCTGACTTTGGGGACCATCTTGGTCTGACTCAGCTTCAGTTTCGACAGCAACAACTTGAGGACTGGACGGGCTGTCCTGGGAAACCGGCCTCTTAACTGTAAGGTCCCCGGGAAACTGTCAGTAAAACTTAGTTACCTGCTACCTTTCTCACGGGCAACACTTAGCAACACACAGGATCCGTCTTCCCCCTGAAAAACGTCAAGGGTGATGCACCCACTTCCTGGAGCCCAGACTTGGCAACCCCACTGATGTCTCCCTTCCTCTATCTGAGCCTTTGGTAGCAAAAGAGGAACCGGCGAGGTCTCCAGGCCCTGAGCTGCGGGGGAGAGGAGCTCGAAGCAAGAGAGCATGTGGGTGGTGGGGAAATTCCTTTTCTCGGGTGTTCCAGACGAGGTGAGGGGACGGCCTTGCCGTGGATGAGTCAGCGTGGCCTGGGAAAGGCCCGCTGAGGTCATCGTCAGAGAGATCACTGACTGAGTCACCTGGTCTGAATGGGCGCTTGTCTATTTCTCTGTGTGGCCCATGCCCCTGGGGACCGTGAGCTGGCCAGGAACATGCTGGCTGGCTGAGCTGTGCCTGGTGCCTCCCGATCCATCAGGGTCAGGCCCAGGGTGCCGGCCGTGGAGGGCAGGGCGGAGCCTGCTAAGGGGTGGGCGATGGACGTGAGGTCAAAGCCGGTTTCCCGGGGTTCGGAGTGGGTCAGCACGAAGCCCAGGAGGCATGAAGCAGGACACGGCCGGACTCTAGTGCCAGATCCACCACCCACTGGCTTGGGGACTCTGTTGGTTTCCTGGGCTGTTGTCACAGATGGCCACACCCTGGGTGGCCTACAACAACAGAAATTTGTTCTCATGAGTCTGGAGGATGGAAGTCCAAAACCAAGGTGTTGCAGGGCAGTGCCCGCTGCTGGAAGCTCCCGGGGAGGGTCCCTCCCGGCCTCCTCCAGCTCCTGTGGCCCCAGCATTCCTTTGCTTGTGGCCACATCCCTTCAATGCCTGCCCCCGTGGTCACATGGCCTCTCCTCTGTGTCTCTGTGTCTTCTCGTCATACAAGGACACCAGTCACCGGACTTAGGGCCTGTCCTACTCCAGTGTGACCTCAAGTAATTACATCTAATAGAGACCCTATTCCCAAATAAGGTCCTTTTCTGAGGTTTTGGTGGACATGAATTTTAGGGAACACTTTTCAACCCATGACAGTGACCTTGGGCAGGAACTTTACCCTGCACAACCCTCGGTCACTCTATTTTTAAAATGAGGCACTTTTTGGGGGCATGGGAGTAAGTGGGGTACTAGGCCTGCTCGGAGGCAAGTGGCTGATGCTCTGCATCAGGACAAGAGCCACGTCCGTCGTCCTTCTAGAGACAAGGAGATTCAAGAGCCATCCCCTGAGCTCACGTTTACATAAGGGAGGCAATCCGCCTCCCTTATGGAGTAAGGTTATCATTATCTAGCAAATATGATCCCACACTCGACAAGCGAGCCTCCAAATGGAAATCTGGGACTAAGGAAATTATTCATGTGACCGGCATCTGCGTTCATACGTGTCTGCAGGGGGCAGGGAGGGGGCCTGCTACCAGGGTGCTGCGGCCTCTTCGAGTTTCAGACTCAGCAAAGCACAGCTGTGCGGGGCACCTCTGAGTACCAGGACCACGGGGAAGTTCCCCAAACATGCCGCACTGTTTAAAGGGCGAGAGCCCCAGCCATTTGCAGAGAAAGAAGACGACTCAGGGGTCAGAGGACATGATTCAGGTCACATCACCAACCAGAGATGAGGGAGAATTCACACCTGAGGTCAAGTCTGGAATTCTTCCCACTAAACCCCAGCCGGAGCCTCAGTCTCCAGACCGGGGCTGGTGTCTGAGGAAAGTGAATTTGTTTGATTTTCAAAGTGAGTCTAGATAATTTCCCCCCGCAAGAGGCCAAGGAGACAAGACTACGCTCATACCTAAAACGTTAAGATGAATCAGCTAGGACTTGTGTTTTACATACAGCACTGGCCTGGTGAGGAGGGATGCCCCTGGTGGGCGTGGGGCAGGGGGAGGTGCCCCAGCCTACGATCCCCTGTCATCATGTGACCACACACCGTCCCTCCTGGGACAGTTTCCCAGCAGCTGGAACACGGATGAGTGTTTTGAAAAACCACATCGATGCAGACAAGGCTATTCCCACTTAGAGAAGAGCCCTCTGCTAGTTCTGAATCTTTCTATTCGCTCACTCTTTTTTTTTTTTAAATTAATTTTTATTGGAGTATAATTGATGTACAATGTTGAGTTAGTTTCTGCTGTACAGCAAAGTGAATCCGTTATGCATATACATATATCCACTCTTTTTTAGATTCTATTCCCATACAGGTTATTACAGAGCATTGAGTAGATTCCCCTGTGCTATACAGCAGGTTCTTATTAGTTATCTATTTTGTGTATAGTAGTGTGGCTATGTCAGTCCCAGTCTCCCAATTTATCCCTCACACCCCTTTCCTCCTTGGTAACCGTAAATTTGTTTTCTACATCTGTGACTATTTCTGTTTTGTAAATAGGTTCATCTGTACCTTTTTTTTTATTCCACGTATAAGTGATATCATATGATATTTGTCTTTCTCTGTCTGACTTAGCTCACATTTTTGAAGGACATCCTGGCCCGTTACGGAGGTTCTAGCTAATTGTTCAGCCTCACGTTAAGGCCATGTCATAGTTGCTGGCTGTAAAGGGCCAGGTGAGTGTGGAAGTGACCTGGTGAGGGTGCAGACAACCCTGTGCCCGGCCAGCCCGCAGGATGACCGTCGCTGCGTCGGGGAAACAGCCTCACTCTTGCTGCCCTGGGGTCTGCCCATTGCATCCGAGTGTGGCGAGCTCAGCCCCAGGCACAAAGGGACCACTTTCTATTGACCGGGCCCTGCGTGTCCTTCTGCCTGGGGCTGCCTACCTGCTAAGATGGAAGCTTCTGTGGCGAACATCACAGCAAATTCCTGGATGATGTCTGCGGTGCTGTCATCCACAAAGAAGCCCAGGTAGCTGACGGAAGAATGGAGAACCAGAGGCACGGCCGAGGGGAAGGCGCCCAGGGTCCTATCCCCGGCTCTCTTCAGTGCTTCATACAGACACTCCAACTTCTGGTCCTCGCACTGAGGGACAGAGACAGGACAGTCACCTGTTACCTTAACTAATAAAAGTCAGGCAGCCTCGGGAGCCTCTTTTCTGTTCACGATGCTGTAACATAATTTAACTAGTCCTGGTGTTTGGAGTGGTGGATCCATTCTATAGCTGGTCCCCAGTTTCTTATAGAATTCAGGTCAAGCTCTTTTTGGAATAGAATAGCCTTTGAGTGCCCAGGTCAAAAATCCCTTGTCCCTCTAAATATGCACCTCACTCCACGTTGAGTTGACCCAACCCTGCATCACATCCTGAACCCCGTCCTCCAGTCCTGTGGCCCACAGCTGGGCTCAGTGCTGCATCACTGGCTTCTGGAGGTTTCCTGTAGACACCAAGGCAGCCCCGGGGTGCACTGCTCAGAACCTACTCTACTGAGGAGTGTTGTAGCCTACCCCTCAGCCGCTGACCTTCAGACGCGGCAGCAGGCCACGCACTCGGCCAGTAATCGAGCCATCCTTGCCCCCAACGGGGTCTCCTCTGACGTGGTCTTGGCTCACAAGCTCCCCCTCAACCCTGCTGTCACCCACTCACCTGCCCTCTGGCCACACAGCTCTTGGCTCCTTGCTCAGTGGGAAAGACTCCACGCGCCCATGTGGGACCCCAGTTGAACCCTGACAGAACCACCTGCTTTGGTGAGCTGGCCAAATCCTGCTCTCCCCAGCAGCTGGCTCCCTCTGGGCTTCCCACAGCCCTCTTTATTCTCTGAGTTATGAACCTTATCATCATTGTTAATGTGCACCCTCAGCTCCCCTGCACTAAATTCACCCCGTCTGTTGTGTCTTTGCAGTCCTCATAGGGCCTGGAAAGCACGTGGTGCCTGGAGGACACTCATCTCATGTAATCTGGGAGCATGGAGCCACGTTATACACCGACCTGTAGATGATGGCACTATTTGGTGGCTGAGCATTCTTATTTTACAGAATCAAAGGCAAAGACTGAATCCCTATTACACTCTTGTGCTGGAAAGGGGCACTCAGCCACCAGGGCAGGGTGGGAGGTGGGGCGGGCGTGAGGGGGCAGCTACCTCGAGAGAAGGGAAATGTGTGTGTGTGTATCTACGTGTATGGTATGTCTGTGTGTCATGCTGTGTGTGTCTCTGTGTGTCTGTGTATGTGTGTGTGCGTGCACAAATGGACGTGCCTCGACAGGCTGGGAGGAAGAGTTGGAGGCCCCGGTCAGCTCTCTGGCTGTCAGGACCAGGTGTTTCCATTTCTAAGGTCATGTTCGTTGCTGACTTCACTGCCTCTCCTTTCCCTGATGAGCTCCTAGGACAAGCCAGGAAGGAGCCTGTCACAAATGCCATCAATGTGCAAGTAGGGTGACCAACTCACCCTGGTTTGCCTGGGACTTTCCTGGTTTCAGCACCTGGGAATCCCTCGCCACTGGCCCTGGCAAATGAGGATGATTGTCAAGGGCTTTGGAAGATGATGCTTCTCCTGGGCATCTTCTGGAAGCCTTCCTGCACAGGTTTGCATCCCCCTTTCTGTGCAGCACAAAGGAGCCTGGAACAGAGGGCTCCTTGGGCCCCGGTGGGACCCTTAGAGTTTGCTGGCAGTAGAGCTGGGGTGGGGCCAGGGTGTGCCCTCTGTACTTTTCTCTGGTCAGGAGCCACAGTGGTGTCTGCCCCTCCTTCTCTCATTCTCATGCCTCCCTCTTGTCTTTTGAGCATCCCAGGTCCTTCTCACCTTCCCAGGACCCCATCCTGGGAGCTGCAGCTGGCTCTCTGAACATCTTTCGAATCAGAGGACTGGTCCCCCAGGCAGGGAAAAGTCCTACATCTGTGGCTGGCCAACCCGTTCTTCAGTTGATCCATCACACATCTGTGAAGCACCCACTCTGTTTGAGGCATGGTGCTGGTCTCTGGGGGGCAATGGTAAGTGAATTGTCCTCCTTCACTTGAGCGGTTC